TCAACGGATCTGGACGAGTATTATGAAAAGATCAGGGTCAAGATCAATAAAGAGTCATTCGATTTTCACAAGAACGGATCCGGGTGGGTGCTGACGAAGATACAGGGTATGGAGCTACGTGTCAACCGCTATTACGCTTTACATCGAGGAGGAACGTCCGTTAAGGTGTCATTTTCAACGAAACATGCTGTCAATGTAAATAACGGTGAATTAAACGATTATTTCCTGTACGCAAGGCAATACTTGAAAAGGGTGTTACGATACCTAAAAGGCTCAAGGAATTTGAAATTGACCCTTACAAATAAACTTGTATTTACTGATATCTTGAGTGGTCACTATGTTATTCTGATTGGGTAAAAGATGAAAACGATAGAAAGAGCACGACAGGCTTCCTATTTCCATTATTTGAAAACTGTACCATTTGTTGGAATACCAAAAGCAAAACTCTAAGACTGCCTCATCCACTGAATCAGAGTATATGGCGCTTTTTGAAGCTGTCAGGGAAGCTCTATGGTTAAAATCGTTTCTGAGTAGTATTAATATGACTGCAATAACTCCCATTTTAATTCAAGAAGACAACACCGGTTGTATAAGTATTGCAAAGAATCCAAGTAGCCACAAAAGATCAAAACACATGCATGTAAAGTATCATTTTTCTAGAGAACAGGTAGAAAAAGGGCTAATAAATGTGAAATATGTTCCAACAGGTGATCAGCTAGCCGATTTACTGACCAAACCGTTGTCCACCACAAAATTCAAGAATTTAAGACCAGGGCCGGATCTTCAAAATTCGCAAAATTAGAAATTAGCAAGTCAAAATTCAAGTGGACTCGTTAAAAATTCAAGTGGACTCGTCAAAATTCAATATCCTTCAGCGCTCTCTAAGTTTTTTCTTTGATCTCCTCTAACGAGTTGAAACGGATCCTTTTCATCGGAAACGTAAGCTAAGGAAACAGACAAAAGTCGCAGGGAGCTAACTTGAAAACGCAATGTTGAACTAATTTTGAACTTACTAGGATAATGCTGAGGGAAAGTAAGGGGAAAGTGGCTCATTTCGCGAGAATATCGTATGACCTTTAAAATGACGTATTTGGGGGTCCGAAACCCCCCTTAAAATTAGTTTGACGTAATTTCTGTAATTTTTACTTGAAGGTGCTTACAATTTGGTAAATTTTCCCGTTTTATTTTTTTCTTTACGATAATTTGAACAGGAGATATGGTTTTTTGAAAATAGGTCAAATTTGATTTTTGACCTATCATAACTCGTTCAAAAATTAAGATATTGATTTGCGGTTTGCGCCAAAATTCTTGGTTTTTTCTGCTCTCTCTATTTCACAAGATAGGGGTTACCATTTGAAAAAAAAAAGTTGGGGGCCCCCGCGCCCCTCCTAAGGGGTGGACGAATATTCTGACCCCCCTAGAAGATGAACCCCTTTAAGATAGAGACATTCCCAAAGTTTCGTTTTTCTATCTCTAACCGTTCAAAAGTTACGAGGGGGGGGGAGGTACGGACCTTCGGGATACCCTGTATGCCTTCGATTCACTTCCCTTTCCTTCCTAACAGAGCAAGATTCACAATTTCCCGCTTAGTTCAATTTTCGGCAAAATTTGAAATCACCCGCCAATGAAAAATGGCAGGAATTTCAAATTTTGCCCCTCTTTCTGAGATCCTTGTTGAACTCTTTTATAAAAAATCTGGGTCATATTTCCACAATCTAAATAGAGCGGGCGGGCTCATCTAGAGACTATCACTTGTCGATAACCACAAAAAGCATGGCAATAGGCCCAGAGTAGAACGCTCGAACGAACTGTGACAAAAAATAAAAATTTACACTATTCAAATAAGAGAATTCGCAAGTTTATCGTGTAGTTTAAAACAAGCAGTGAACTCCAACACAATGTGTTGATAAGGCGCGTCATTAACTTACACATATCAACCCCTTTAGATTTCATTTAGGTACACCGTTTAATTGAGGATTGACAGAAAACAATTCTGGAGTAAAGAAAAGGTGTTGCCGATTTTCCATTTGCGAGATATTCACGGTCAAGGTTTAAAATGGACCTAATTTCAAAAATTCATGAGCGTAATTTGAATTGACAGCGAAAAACAGACAAGAGGGATAAATTACTTATCAGTATGAGTAATTTTAAAAAACTATCGTAACTTTCAGGTTTTTTTTTTTTTTTTATTTTGAGAGTACGGCATTAGAGACCTCGAAAATTTTGAAAGTTTGAGCTCTTGTTGCTCTCTTTAAAATAGTTGCTGTTTCGGCAATCGATCCTAGTATTTTATAAAAACACCAAATAAAATTTCAAAGATATTTAATGTCACCCCCCCCCCCCTTACGTAATACTCGATGAATACTTTCGATTTCTCTCGAGCAAGAAACGGACCTTGGCCCTCTCATTTTCTTCTGATGCCGATATCTTTTAAAACTGATGCCACACTAACAGCGTGATATCCCATTTAAATAATAAAAATTATTGTGTTGGATTACCTGCTTAAAACAAGTGCTCACAGTGACAGTCACCTTGAACCTCACAGTGCCCGCTGCGACCGTAGACGGCCTCCTTTACTTTCAAAACCTTCAAAGTTTTTGAGGTCTCTTATGCCGTCACAAAATCGAAAAAACTAAAAGTTATGATATTTTATTAAAAGTACTCTTACTGTAAGTAATTTACATCTCTCGTCTGTTTCTTGCTGTCAATTCAAATTGCACTTCTGAATTTTTGAAATTAATTAGGTCCATTTCAAACTTTGACCATGAATATCTCGGAAAGGGAAATTCGGCAACACCTATTTCTCTACTCCAGAATTGCTTTCTTTCAATCCTCTTTTGAACGGTGTATCAAAAAAGGGGGTTACCATGTTAGGGTCCGCGCAGGCGCCTGGGGCGGACCCCCGAAATTTAGCATACGCGAAAATGTAGCTTACAATAACCAAGAAACATTCTCAAAATTTCATTTTTCTACGAGCAGCCGTTCAAAAGTTAGCCGGCCGTCCTGGAACTTCTGGCCCACCCTGTGAGTATAACATTTCAAAACAATGTTTTACAAATCATTACAAAGAACACTATACAAACATTGCTAACCAACATATCGACGGTGTAAGTCGGCAATCGCATAACTCGAGGAACGCGCTTTTTCTCGAGAGGGAAAAAACTCTCTACATTCCTCCTCTTTAAAGGTAAAGGGGAAATAATTCTTGAAAACAGCAATAAGGATAAGATGCTTCATGAGACTCTATCATCATTTTGAATATTATTCTCGTCTGTCAGGAGAAATTACCGAAAACCCGAGTTATGTGTTTGTGGAACTAAGGTCCAACACTGAAATCCGAGATACGTATGGTTGGCATAAATTTGGGTTATATTTATTAATAATGTTTCGATAATATTCCAAACAATATTATTGAAACGTACATTATTAATGTTATAATAACATTTACAAGAGGCTCGGCAAAAATTGTATAATATTGCAGAACATTCATTTCACACATTCAGCACATTCACTTACTCACCCGCTCACTTACTCACTCACTCACTCACTCACTCACTCACTCACTCACTCACTCACTCACTCACTCACTCACTCACTCACTCACTCACTCACTCACTCACTCACTCACTCACTCACTCACTCACTGACTCACTCGCTCGCTCGCTCGCTCGCTCACTCACTCACTCACTCACTCACTCACTCACTCACTCACTCCCCCACTCACTCACTCACTCACTCACTCACTCACTCACTCACTCACTCACTCACTCACTCACTCACTCACTCACTCACTCACTCACTCACTCACCCACTCACTCACTCACCCACTCACTCACTCGGTGAAGATCCATGTGTTAATTCACTATTCTTTCTTTCCAATGATTGATCTTATTTTTTATTATTTATGTTTCTTTGGGACCCAAGAATATCATGACCTACCTATTAAAATATGTGTGTACGTAATTTTATTTCTGGATGATCGCGTCCGACAAAATCGAACTTAAATCTAAATTTATCAAGATTTTTTTTCGATAATATTGCAATAAACCACCGTTGATAAAATCGCGATTTTATTGCTTTATCCGATGAAATTTCAATTTATCGCAATTTTTTATCCGAATATATTGCAATAAATTGACGTTGATAATATCGCGATATTTTCTCCGATCAGATCGCAATCAACTTATCGCGATCACTACCACTTGGGCAGTCGCCATGTTAGCAAATTTAGCCCCGGGTACTCGTTGGCAACCCGGGCAAGCCATCAAAGTCGGGTCACTAGGCCAGGAATTGAACCTGAGACATCATGCTAATTATACTGCGGGAGACCGACCGCAATGAATGTGATATGATTGGATCAGTAGGTAATGTAGCATCGCGTCCATGATATTGGACTCCATGCTCAGCTATATATGTTCGGTTGCTCATCACGTCCAAGATCTTGGACTCCACGCTCACTTTAACTAGGGATGATTTTTTCGAAAAATCGAAGTGAGCATAGCGTCCAAAATTGTGGGATCCAGGTATTCTCGGACAATACACGAGCATAGGGTCCAAGAATGTATTAGGACAATTTTTGTGAAATAAAGGCGAAAAAATATGTCCTCGAAAAAAATTGTGCATTGCTTGGGTTAGGTTAGGTTAGGTTAGGTAAGGTTAGGTTAGGTAAGGTTAGGTTAGGTTAAGTTAGTTAAAGTTAGATTAGATAAGCGAAGTATACGATGCTCTATTATGAGGAACTTTAAAACCAAGGGAGGTTTGCTTGATTTTGGACTCCATGCTCAAGCAAAGAAGGGAGAAGTTTAGCGATGAGCATGGAGTCCAAGATCTTGAACGAGATGAGCAGGCACGTATACCAAGGGTGAGCATGGAGTCCAATATCTTGGACGTGATGCTACATAATCGATCAGTAATTTGTGATTGCAATCAATAAAAGTCAGTGAACCGTTACCTATATATTTTGAGGATAGAATAAATTATTATTTTTCCATGTTACGTACCTTAAGCGTTCTTTTTTCTCGTGCTTTTTTCCATCGTGGTGTCTCAAAACACCCTTCCCTCGCAATTTATTGTATAGTTTTATCGTTGTCACGACAAACAGGAGGAGATTCAACGACAGCAGGATTCCTGCTGGAAGGTAAAAGTAAAATAATTCTGCGTGGTTACCTGAAAGAAGAATAATATCCCTAGAAGCCAAAAGGCTAGTATCAGTTACGGTACCTCGTGTTGATACCTATACCATATTTAATACGAACTCAGTACGCATATTATAAGTACTTGTATATACAATAAATAAATTATTATTTATACAGGGTGATCCAAAAGTCCCTTCCACCCCCTTTTACTTTTTACCTAATTGAGGTAAAGATTTGAAACTTGGGAGATATTCCTAGTTCAAAGGGAGCTACTTTTTGGCCCCCTAAAATCTTCAGGGGGCCCCCCTTGGGGGGGGGCAATGGACCCCAACTTTTAATTTTCAAATAGGAAGACCCCCTTTGTGATAGCTCGTTCGAAAGAGCATAAAAAAAAAACTTTCGCGCTAACCCGAAGTCAATATCTCATAACATTTCAAAATGGCGGCCGGTTAAAGTTAAAAATGGCCGAAAATTCACACCGGTTATTTGTCGATAGATTTTTGGGAAAATCGGTATGATGGGGTATTTTGACACGAGAAAAACGAATTTGACGTTAGATTTTCAAAAAAACCGACATTTCCAAAATGGCCGCCGGTTACAGTTCAAAATGACCAAAAATTGATTTTTTTAGAAATCTAAGTTCAAATTTGTTTATCTTATGCCAAAATTCTCTCAAATTTCAAGTCTTAGGCAAATCTATCAGGAAAAAACTGAGGTGACAATTTTCGGCCATTTTAAACTTTAACCGGCGGCCATTCTGGAAATTTTGGTTTTTTTGAAAACCTAACGTCAAATTCGTTTTTCTCGTGTCAAAATACCCCTACATACCGATTTTCGCAAAAATCCATCGACAAATAGTCGGTGTGAATTTTCGGCCATTTTGAACTTTAACCAGCCGCCATTTTGAAATGTTATGAGATATTGACTTCGGGTTAGCGCGAAAGTTTTCTTTTTTATTGCTCTTTCGAACGAGCTATCACAAAGGGGAGCTTCCCATTTGAAAATTAAAAGTTGGGGGCCGTTGCCCCCCAAGGGGAGCCCCCTGAAAATTTTAGTGGGCCAAAAAGTAGCTCCCTTTGACCTAGGAATGTACCCCAAGTTTCAAATTTTTACCTCAATTAGGTGAAAAGTTAGAGGGGGTGGAAGGGACTTTTGGATCACCCGGTATAATAAAAAGACATCTGGGCCATTCCACGTCAACTGTGCCAGGCTCGGAACCCAACCCCCTCCGATTTGGCTGAAAATTGGTATACGGGGTCTTTACATCATTATAAGAAACTAATTTGAAGGGTTTTCCCATCCGACGCCCCGTTCGCGAGATATCGACCCCCAAAGATGGGGTGAATTTTAGCGATATTCAAAAAAGCCCGTTTTAGCGATTCTCATTTTCTCGACTTCCCTCTCTTTGACTCTCCATAGCGAGACTCTGTATCAATCCATCATACTTTGAAAGAGTGTTTCTAGACCAATTTTTCATGTAGATTCTGAATATGCCATCAAAATTGAGCTAAAAATTATTTAAACGGCCGTAATTTAGAGTTTTTTAAAATTTACGATTTTTTCGCCATTCAATGTTCAAACTGAATTATCTAAAAAACAGTCTCTCCAATTTTCGATTTTTTTTATATACTTCAAGCTTAGGATATACAGGGTGTCCCAAAAGTCCGTGCCCCCCCTCGTAACTTTTGAACGGTTGAAGATAGAAAAACGAAACTTTGGGAATGTTTCTATCTTAAAGGAGACCATCTTCTAGGGGGGTCAAAATTTTTGTCCCCCCCCCAGGGGGGGGCTCGGGGGCCCCCAACTTTTTTTTTTCAAATGGTAACCCCTATCTTGTGATACCTCATTCAAAAGAGCATTAAAAACAAAGAATTTTGGCGCAAACCGCAAATCAATATCTTAATTTTTGACCGAGTTAAGTTGACCTTTGACCTATTTTCAAAAAATCATATCTCCGGTTCAAATTATCGTAATGAAAAAAGTAAAACGGGAAAATTTACCAAATTGTAAGCACTTTCAAGTAAAAATCACAGAAATTACTTCAAACTAATTTTAAGGGGGGTTTCGGACCCCCAAATACGTCATTTTAAAGGTCATACGATATTCTCACGAAATGAGCCAATTTTCCCTTACTTTTCCTTAACATTATCTTAGAAAGTTCAAAATCAGTTCAACATTGCGTTTTCAAGTACCCAAACGAACAAAGTTTTTTTAAAAAATGAAATTTAAATGGTTGAATTAAATCACCTTAAATTTCGTTTTTTGAACGTCGCCAAAAATTTTGGGACTGTTTTGAATGAGGTATCACAAGATAGGGGTTACCATTTGAAAAAAAAAAGTTGGGGGCCCCCGAGCCCCCCCTGAGGGGGGGACAAAAATTTTGACCCCCCTAGAAGATGGTCTTCTTTAAGATAGAAACATTCCCAAAGTTTCGTTTTTCTATCTTCAACCGTTCAAAAGTTACGAGGGGGGGTACGGACTTTTGGGACACCCTGTATACTTTCGGTCGATATACTTTTTTCAATTGCCATCGGACGGTTAAGGGCCTAAAAAAATTCAAATAGGCCAAAAAAGGTCAAAAATTGGTAAAAAAAGACGATTTTTTACATTTTAATCCAAATATTTCGATAATGAACACTTCAATTAACAATGTTTTCCCCCAGTTTACCCTCTAAAATGTATAAAATCAGACTATCGACGCTTCCCATACATTTACCGATCTATTAACGGCCTGATGGAAACCGGAAACCGACCGAAAATCCTCGAAATTGACGCAAAAAGACGATTTTTCACACCGTAACCGATGCTTTCCATAGATTGTGACTGCAATTTCCAATTTTCTCTCTCTATTTCAACCTTAAGGTATATACTTTCGAGTAATAAACACTTACTAACGTGCATCGATGGGGCACGGATTTAAACGGAAATGAAAACCGGCCGGAAATGCTCAAAAATAACGGAAAAAGGCGATTTATTGCATAGTCAGGGAAGCATGTGTTCGAAAATTACGTCCCGTTTGCACGTTTGTGATGCAAGTTTACTCCTTCATTTTGGTCCCTAGAATGAGAAAATCTTTGGTGGACTATCCGCTTTTGATGCCAAGGCCCCAAAAACAAGATGGCGGCCAAAATGGAGGCTGAAATTGAAATGTTGGTGAAACGGCACAAAACGTCAAGAGAGATGTCGATCCTCATG